GGGTTTAGTCGGCAAAACGGCATCAACTCATGGCTCCGCAGAAATATGTGCAACGGCGGCCTGCCGTCCGGATGTGCATCTCCCTGCGAAAGTATGAACCAAATTAGGACGACACCCTAAAGCTGTAGCGCGTGTCTAAGAAGCGACGACCTGCGAAGGAAGTTAGCTGGGCTATCACGGTCGTCAAGGGAAAGCGGAAGGCAGCGCCCTAGATATCAGCCTTTATACGCTGATTCAGCGTTAGATCAGGCTTTTTTTTAGGGGTAGGCTGAATCCAAAGTTTTTTGTTATGTACCTTGGCTGATTTTTCAGCGTTTAATTTTTAACCATGGCTGATTTTTCAGCCTTTTTGTAAGAGTGTAGGCTGTGCACTCAGCCTTGTATAGGGGGTCCAGAGTGAAACTGGCATTACAGTGTACGGCTAACACAGTCAATCACGGGCGAGAAATCGAAATTTTCCCCGCGCGGCACCGCACAGCAGATTCGGGCTTGACTGGTCACTGCAGATTCGCCCTGACAAAGCAATTCGCACAACACGTATTCGCCCCTTCACAACACTTCAGATTCGCCCTGTCGGGGCAAATTCGCCCTGACACAAGAAATTTGCCTTGTCACGGACAAGAGATTGGCCCCACAGCAGATCTGCTGTGTCAGCTGTAACCGAAAATCCAAGCAACCTACGAAACATGAAATCCGCTTCTGTTGAGTCAAACAAAAATGTCTGATACACGTAGCGAGGACCCTGCAGTACACGACACCATAAACATCCACCCCACCCCACCTTTCCTACAAACTGACGTGTGATATGTTTAATTCCCATGTTTTTATGAATATGCATGATCCGCTTAAGATTTGAACCTCACGCTGAAAGTTCAGCCTAAAAAAATTAGGTTGTCTGAATTTTCAGCCTAAAAAATTGATGCCACACAGACTCACAGAGCTCCAACAGGGGTGGACGCTGATCGATCAGCGTGCCTCAAAACGAATCTAGGGGCCTGGCGGAAGGGCATAGCAGCACAGGGGATTGACGCTAGCTGCAGTTGTTAGAATCAAGCAGCAGGAATGAATGAACTATGGAAGAGTTGGGTACAAATGTCAAACCCTAGAAGGGGTTGTACCCCATATTGGCTACCCCACTACAGCCTAAGCATGTAAAGCATACATAATCTGACACACCCCCATAGGCAAAGTGGGGGAGAGCAAGGGGTCACAAGACCAGTCAAGAGAGGCAAAGCAAGCTCAGGGTGGATCACAACGTCACCACACACTCTGAGCACAAGCAAAGGGCCACAAGGCCAGTTCACATGCAAAGATATATATGCAACAACAGCAGTACAGTGATCTCTACCTAACAGAGCAAGCAAGTAGGTATAGATATATAGATCACAGTACAAGCAGAGTCTACAGCAAGTGAGGAAACGTGGGCACAAGGCCAAGCAAGGTACACAAGCGCTGATGATCACCAGGCGAAAGTGCCTTGGTGAATATATCAGCAGTGTTGGCCCGAGTGGCCACGTAACGCAGACGAAGCTGACCACGCTGCTGCAACTCTCGAGCCAAGAAGTAACGCAGAGCGATGTGCTTCGTTCTGTGCTCCGCACACAAGGCAATGGCAGCCTTGTTGTCAACGTACAGCACTGGAGGAGAACGAGGCTGCTCTCCCAAGTCGGTCAGCAGGTAGGTGAGCCAGCGTAACTCCTGTGCAGCCATGGCTGTGGCGTAGATCTCAGCCTCACAACTGGAGCTAAGAACTGAAGACGAGCGTGTAGAACGCCAAGAAACTGAACCAGAGCCAAGGCTGAAGGTGTAACCCTGTGACGACCGCTGAGTAGCCTGGTCGTCAACCCAAGAAGCGTCTGAGTGCCCAGTGAGGACAACTGGGCTCTTCCCTCCAAGCACTAGCCCCATGCCTGATGTGCTGCATAAGTAGCGCAGTACCCTCTTAGCGGCAGCCATGTGCTCAGGCCGGTGCCGACCAGGAGCCACGTAGCGAGCTAGCAGACCAAGAGGGTACGCGAGGTCAGGTCGAGTGCAAGTCATCAGGTACATGAGGCAGCCAACTAGCTCTGGGTAAGGACCACTCGGCTCTACGGACTCGTCCGAGTGACCTGTAGCCAGAGGAGTGGCCTGTGCCGAGGACCAGGTGAAGCCGAAGCGCTGAAGGACCTGCTGCACCATGTGTGACTGAGTCAGTGTGATGGTGCGGCGTGCTCTGTCCCGGGTGATCCGCAAGCCAAGATAGCTTGTCAGCTCACCCAGGTCTGTGCACGTGTGTCTCTTCTGCAGCTCCGACTTCACGTGGGCGAGAGCCTCAGTGTCAGCAGTGGCAAAGACCAAGTCGTCGACGTACACGAGGATGTAGAACGGCGGCCGTGAAGTGTCGGTGCGCAGAAACAGCAACGGGTCAGCAGTAGAGGGCGCGAACCCAAGAGCCGCAAGTGTAGTCCTCAGTGTGTCGTGCCACTCACGTGGCGCCTGGCGGAGACCGTAGACTGGCCGCCGGAGGCTCCACTGGGTACCAGGAGGAAACGACCCAGTGAAGCCAGGAGGGCGGCGCAGCCAGATCTCCTCGTGCAGACTGCCCTGCAAGAAAGCTGTGCTGAAGTCAAGAGAGTGAAGCTCGTAATCACGCTGAGCGGCAACGTGCAGCAGCACCCGAAGAGTGGTCGTCTTCGGGGTAGGGGAGAAGGTCTGGAAGAAGGTCTGGAAGAAGTCTGGAGAAGGTGGAGGATGATGTGGATGAGCGTGGTACCTAGACCCTATATTTTCTCTTAGTATCTGATAGCTAGGACCTTCTTAGGATGGATGCAATCAAATCTAGAATTTAACTAGACCTATAGTAGCTTATATATTATATAAATAATGGAAACGGTGCAACTAAAAGGACACCATCATCTCAGACAGGTCGAGTCCAAACTTCTGCCTCGTTAGACGATGAATTTCCAATAATCTGGTTCGTATGACACGGAAAAAAGAATAAGTGGAATGTACACAAACCATAATAAAAAAAATCTGAATTTGTGAGTTAAGAGAGCTCATGATCTGCAACTTAGATGTCAAAATAAAATACACACTTTGTGTCAGAATCCCAGCCACTAACCACTGGGATAAAAGGGCTTGTTAAATAGCGGGTCAGTGCGCCCATAACCCCCCAGGACAACGAGCCTGTAACCCTTCCCTAGGATCAATCGGGGATCACCAGTGGACCTCTGACAACCCCCCGCACTGGGATGCCCGAAGTGCATACACTGGGATTCGAACCCGAGACCTTCGCTCTGATACCATGTCAGAATCCCAGCCACTAACCACTGGGATAAAAGGGCTTGTTAAGTAGCGGGTCAGTGCGCCCATAACCCCCAGGACAACGAGCCTGTAACCCTTCCCTAGGATCAATCGGGGATCACCAGTGGACCTCTGACACTTTGTTCCTGCATCAAATCTTCTAATTCAAATTTGGTTCCACACTGGTTTTATTATGCATATTTTACTGAACAAGTACTTATATAATAAAACATGTAACATAGCTGCTGTACAAGCCCCACATTCCGCAAAACAGTTCCTACTATTCCGAGGTGTAGAATGTCGAACCAGGAGCTCGCGCGGTTCCACGCCAGTTCACCCCGATCTGGCTCGCAGAGGCTAGGATTGGCTGGCTAAAAAAACCTACGTCCTAGTTACTACGAACTGAGCAGAGTCTGGCTGCAGTCGAGCCTCGAAAGCAGCGCGAAAGTTACTGCAGAGACACTGCACATACCACAAATCTACCACCAACCCACCTTGCACAAAAGGTGACTTTCTAAAACATACGACCAACGCTTCTCATTTTTGAGATGGCAGCAGCAGCAGCGGATATGGCGGCGGAATCTGCAACGAAAAGATTCCAGTACCTCCATTCCTTCCTCCTCCTCCTCCTCCTCCTCCTCCTCCTCCTCCTCCTCCTCCTCCTCCTCCTCCTCCTCCTCCTCCTCCTCCTCCTCCTCCCACTCCCCCTTCCGCCCCTCCCCGCTCTCAACTCATCCACCGTCCAATCGCTACTATGCGCGCGACCCGTCCATTCGCTTCCTCACATTCGAGTGGCTGGACGGCTGTGGTGGCTTCGCGGACGTGCTCGCGGGGCTGGTAACCGCCTTCGTCGTGGCTCTGCTCGACAATCGCGCGCTCATCATCCGAAACCGCTGCCTGCCCGCAGCCTTCGAGCCCAACATGATCAACTGGCAGCCCGCCCCGTTCGTGCCTCTGGAACCTGCGCGGAACCTCTCGTTTGTGGATCGCGGGTGGAGGACGATCCCGCAGCGCGCGCGCGACGGCGAGGTGGTGCTGGTGTGGCTGCGCAACAAGTTTGTGCGGATTGAGCCGTTCTTTAAGCCGCTTGAAGGGGCGGTGAATGTGCGCATGACGAGCAACCGCGGCGTGCTGACGTGGCTGCAGACGAGGGCGAGGGGGAAGTGGGCGGCGAGGTTCAAGGCGATGGGCATGCGCCTGCCCTACGCTCTCGGGTGCTCGCTGCGGTTCCTTATGCGGTACGAGGTTGGGGGTGGGAGAGGGAGGGGGGGGGGGGGGGGGGGGTGGGTGGGGGTTGTGGGGGGGAGAAGAGTGGGGGACGGAGAGGGAATGGGATGACGGGAAACGAGAGAGGGGAGAAGAAATAGGAATGTGGATAGGTTCATTTGGATCGCTGTACCACTTTCCATTCCCCGCTTTCCTGGATTTCTACCGATTTGATTTGTTTTGTTTTTTTTGTTTGTTTGTTTGTTTGTTTGTTTTTTTTTTGCATTCTATTCTCACTCTTTCTCGCCCCCTTCCCCTCTCCCCGTTTACCCCTCACCCATCCCCCGTCACCCCCCTTCCCTCTCCCTCTTCCATCCTTCCACCATCTCCCTGCAAGCAGTCTACCACTCCCAAGCCAGACGTGCAAGCATCCTTCCCATTCTCCTTCCCCTCGCCTCTCCCTACTCCCCCCAACCCATCACCCCTCCTGCCCCTCCCAAACACGCCGCCAGGCCCAAGCCAGAGGTGCAGGCACTCTACCGCAGCATCGAGCGGCGCCTGCGGAGGAGGTCGTGGGCGGGAAGAGGAGAGATGAGGAGGCGCCGCGTGGCAACGGTGGGGATTCACGTGCGCGTGCGCGACCAGGTGGTGTGGGCGGGCGACAGGGGGGCGCCCAAGGCGCTCGACGACACGCAGGTGGATGTGCTGCTTGCCCGCGCCCGCAGGTGGCTTCTGTGCGCTCGGGTGAGTGGGATGGGGTGAACGGTGGGCAGGTGGGAGTGAGAGGTTTGGAAGGGAAGGGTTGCGGATTTTGGGTGGATGATTTTGGTGTTGGGTGGGTCGACAGGTGGGGAATCGAAGGGTGTTGTTACCCTTTTCATTGTTGCGCTTATATTATTTGGTTTGTGTCTTCTTTTTCCGCATTTATTTTCTTTGTTACTAAACCGACCAACATTCACCACGACTCTTATACCGACTCGTAGGTCCTAGCTAAGCATCCTCTTGCCATGTTCTTCAACCACCCCCTCATTCCCCGACGTCCTCGTTCTCGAACTTCTCATGCCCAAACTCCAAGCGTGTGGACGTGCATGGGCCCCCAACGTCCTAATGACCCTCACATTCCCGCACCTGTCGCCACGTCCTTCCTCCCAAGCTTCCTGGCAACTTCCACGCCCTGTTCCTGGGTGCCCCCAGCGGGTGGAGGCGTACTGGTTCCCGTCGTCCGTGGTGGTGCGCTGGATGCTCGTCACCAACTCAGCGCAGCTCAAGGCCGCCATTAAATCCCAGTTTCCCCACAAGGTGCGTGTGTGTGTGCGTGTGTGTGTGTGTGTGTGTGTGTGTATCTGTGTGTGTGTGTGTGTCTGTGTGTGTGTGTGTGTGTGTGTGTCTGTGTCTGTGTGTGTGTGTGTGTGTGTGTCTGTGTGTGTGTGTGTGTGTATGTGTGTGTATGTGTCTGTGTCTGTCTGTGTCTGTGTGTGTCTGTGTCTGTGTCTGTGTCTGTGTCTGTGTGTGTGTGTGTGTGTGTGTGTGTGTGTGTGTATGTGTGTGTGTGTGTGTGTCTGTGTCTGTGTCTGTGTCTGTGTGTGTGTGTCTGTCTCTGTGTCTGTGTCTGTGTCTGTGTCTGCATCTGCGTCTGCGTCTGTGTCTGTGTTTGTGTCTGTCTGTGTCTGTGTGTGTGCGTGTGTGTTTGTGTGTGTGTGTGTGTGTGTGTGTGTGTGTCTGTCCGTGTGTCTCTGGGTGTGTCTGCACGTGCGCGCGCCTGAGGGGGGGAGGAAGGGGCGCGGTGGGGGGAGGGGGGTGGTTGGGTCCGGGGGAAAAGGTGCGATGGAAGAGGGAATGAGGGAAAAATCTATCAAAAAATCTGCTTGATTTGGTTGATTAAGAAAGAATTTGCTCGGCCTCAAGCCCAAACAAAGGCCAGTCGAGGAAGGAATGAAAAAATTGTGATGGAAAATTTAACCCAATTTCCAATGGTTGCCAGATCGGTCGGTTACAAGGGAGATCCAACCGGATAAGGTAGGAATAACAAGTTTGCACCTAAACCACAATTTGGCAGCTAACTTCAGCAGAACCCGCAACTGGCTCGCATTGTTTTGTAAGCAATTCTTCCTTTCTGGGTCTGAGCTCTTGGTCAGGACGCATGTGCCTTTCTATCATAAGGACTGACGCTGGAGCTGTGCTATCTCGAGAACCTAATGTTCTTTCTTTTTGAGCTGGGTTTATCTTGCTCTCCTTCTCTTTTTGTGTTTTCTGCCCCTGCCAGGTCATCACCACCGACTTTATCCCTCGGCATTCAAATAGTCTGAGCTCTAGTTCTGCTGGCGGCAGTGGCAATGCCTCCTCCACTCTGAGCCTAAGGGAGCTTGAAAGGCAGCAGCAGGAAGAGGCAAAACTCGAGCAGGAACGTTTGTTTCAGGAACTGGTAACAGAGTGGTTGCTGCTGGCCTCCTGTGATGCGTATGTAATTTCCCAGTCTGGCTACTCAAGCACAGCCGTGTACTATGCTAATAGACCTATGGCTGCTTTCAAGGCAGGGAGTTGTGACCCTGAGGTGCCTTGGCGAGCTACGTTTCTTCCAGGCCAGGCTAGGGGTAGGATATAGAAACGGTATGAACTGTCAAATAACTTTACCACTTGTAGTAGCTTACGAGCAGGCCCTCAGGTTGTTTTTGGGGTAGGCCGATCCATCAGCCTCCACCCCTCCCCTACGGTAGTTAGCCTGACTCTTCAGGCCTAGGCCCGGCTGGAAAATCAGTCTGCACTTTGATGCACCGCGTATATATATAATAAACATAGCGTAAACATAGGTTGCAGTGGTGTGCAGTTGAAAATGCTTTTGTAGGGAAGCTAGGTGTTTCGCTGGCGAAATTAGGCGATTTAGGGCGGGTCCGGCGCGTACGTTTTCCGTACATTACAGTTCATCCAGTGCGGTAATCTGTATTGCGTCATGGTTCAAAACGGTGCAATTTTAAAACCATTGTGCACCGCCTGATATCTTTTCAAACCACTGCGAATGAACTGTATAGTACCTGTAAACGTACGCGCTGGACCCGCCCTTAAAGCTTTTGTATACATTTGAAAGTACTGTTCATGTTTGTACAGTGTGAAAACCGATTTCGCTGCAACGAAAACAAGTGAGCTTGGCGAGAGTCTTGGCGAAATTTTGAAGCCAATGTGCTCTGGGGGTTGCGTTGTCAGAACACCGGAAATGCTCTCGTCACCCAACTACGAATTGAAACTGACATTCTGGAGAATATGCGACTAATTTCTCAGAAAGGCCTAGGTATAACTACATGGAAGGCGACGAGGTGGCTAGCGGAACAGTGCGACTACTCGAATAGTTGAGGTTGAGTAATGACACACTTTATAGGTGCTAGCCACGACTAGGTCAATCAATTGAGCCCGCCAAACTCCCTTTAGCTGCAGCGCCGTGCGGCATTCGGACGGGCCGTCGCGTGGCATTCGTCGAGCGCGCCGTGCGGTATACGGCGAGCCCGACGATTCCTTGCCAAGAGCGCCTCGACGAGTTGCATTCTGCTGGCTCGCCGCGGTGCAATAGTCGAATCCCTACCTACCTGCCTCGACGAGTTGCCTTCGGCGGGCTCGCCTAGCCCGCTGCTCGCGACACCCGCTTAGCGCGACACCCGCTTCTCACCTCACCCGCCGCGTGCCGAACCTTCTGCCCGCCTCTCGCGCTGCTCGTCTCACAAGCCATTTCGCCATTTCCCTCCCTGCTCCCCCCCGTTTCCCCCCTTGCTCCCTCTCTTTTCCCCCCGTGCTCCATCTCATTTCCCCCCTTTCTCCCTCTCATTTCCCCCCTTGCTCCCGCTCATATCCCCCCCTTCTCCCGCTCATTTTCCCCCCTTCTCCCTCTCATTCCCCCCCTTCTCCCTCTCATTTCCCCCACTTCTCCCTCGCACTTCTCCCCCTCATTTTCCCCCCTTCTCCCGCTCATTTTCCCCCCTTCTCCCTCTCACTTCCCTCCCTTCTCCCTCTAGTTTCCCTCCCTTCCCCCTCTCAAATCCCCCCCTTCTCACTCTCAAATCCCCCTTTTCTCCCTCTCATCCCTTCCCTTCTTCTCCCCCTCATTTTCCGCCCTGCTCCCTCTCATTTCTCCCTCTTCTCCCCCACATGTCCCCCCCTTCTCCCTCTCATTTCCCTCCCTTCTCCCTCTCATTTCCTCCCCTTCTCCCCCTCATTTCCCGCCCTTCTCCCTCTCATTTCCCCCCTTTCTCCCCCAAATGTCCCCCCCTTCTCCCTCTCCTTTCCCCCCCCTCTCCCTCTCATTACCCCCCTCCCCTTCTCCCCCTCATTTCCCCCCCTTCTCGCTCTCAAATCCCCATTTTTTCCCTCTCATCCCCCCCCTTCTCCCCCTCATTTCCCCCCTTGCTCCCTCTCAGCCCCCCCCCCTTCTCCCTCCCATCTACCCCCGTTCTCGCCCTCATTTCCCCCCCTTCTCCCTCTCTCATTTCCCCCACTGCTCCCCTTCATTTTGCCCCCTGCTCCTTCTCACTTCCACATTTGCTCCCTCTCATTTCCACCCTTGCCGCCTCTCACTTCCACCCTTGCTCCCTCTCATTTTCCCTTTGCTCACCATCATTTCCCCCCCTGCACCCTCTCATTTTCCCCCCTTCTCCCCCACATGTCCCCCACTTTCTACCTCTCAGTTCACGTGTCCGGATGCTGTGCATGTTCACGACATGCAGGTGAGGGCGGGATCAGGTGTGGCGCGGGCGGATCAGCGTATGCTAGGTGTGCGTGTGCCTGCTGATTGATGTGCATCCAAGTTCATGTCAAGACTTAGGCAAGCGATGAATTGAGTGTCGAGAGAGTTGGTACAAGAGAAAACACCTAAGGGGTTATACCCCACACTATCTACCCCACTACAGCCTAGCAATAATACTAACATATAGATATATGTTTGACACACCCCCATAGGCAAAGTGGGGGAGAGCAGGAGATCACAAGACCAGTCAAGAAAACCAAAGCAAGCTCAGGGTGGATCACAACGTCACCACACACACTGAGCACAAGCAAAGGGCCACAAGGCCAGTTCACATGCAGAGGTATATATGCAGTACAAACAACACAGTGATCTCAATCTAGCAAAGCAAGCATGCAGGTATATATATAGATAGATCACAGTACAGGCAAAGCCTATAGCAAGTGAGGAAAAGTGGGCACAAGCCCCAGCATAGTGCAGAAACGCTGATGATCACCAGACAGAAGTGCCTTGGTGAATATATCAGCGGTGTTGGCCTGAGTGGCCACGTAACGCAGACGAAGCTGACCACGCTGCTGCAACTCTCGAGCCAGGAAGTAACGCAGAGCGATGTGCTTCGTTCTGTGCTCCAGTCTGTGCTCCTCACACAAGGCAATGGCAGCCTTGTTGTCGACGTACAGCACTGGAGGAGAACGAGGCCGCTCTCCCAAGTCGGTCAGCAGGTAGGTGAGCCAGCGTAACTCCTGTGCAGCCATGGCTGTGGCGTAGATCTCAGCCTCACAACTGGAGCTGAGAACTGAAGACGAGCAAGTAGAACGCCAAGAAACCGAACCAGAGCCAAGGCTGAAGGTGTAACCCTGTGACGACCGCTGAGTAGCCTGGTCGTCAACCCAAGAAGCGTCTGAGTGCCCAGTGAGAACAACTGAGCTCCTCCCTCCAAGCACTAGCCCCATGCCTGATGTACTGCACAAGTAGCGCAGTACCCTCTTAGCAGCATCCATGTGCACCTTTCGGTGCCGACCAGGAGCCACGTAGCGAGCCAGAAGGCCAAGAGGGTACGCGAGGTCAGGACGAGTGCAAGTCATCAGGTACATGAGGCAGCCAACTAGCTCTGGGTAAGGACCACTCGGCTCTACGGACTCGTCCGAAGGTGGAGCTGAGAGCGAGTGACCTGTAGCCAGAGGAGTGGCCTGTGCCGAGGACCAGGTGAAGCCGAAGCGCTGAAGGACCTGCTGCACCATGTGTGACTGAGTCAGGGTGATGGTGCGGCGTGCTCTGTCCCGGGTGATCCGCAAGCCAAGATAGCTTGTCAGCTCACCCAAGTCTGTGCACGTGTGTCTCTTCTGCAGCTCCGACTTCACGTGGGATGTAGAACGGCGACAGTGAAGTGTCGGTGCGCAGAAACAGCGACGGGTCAGCAGTAGAAGGCGCGAACCCAAGAGCCGCAAGTGTAGTCCTCAGTGTGTCGTACCACTCACGAGGCGCCTGGCGGAGACCGTAGACTGGCCGCCGGAGGCTCCACTGGGTACCAGGAGGAAACGACCCAGTGAAGCCAGGAGGGCGGCGCAGCCAGATCTCCTCGTGCAGGCTGCCCTGCAAGAAAGCTGTGCTGAAGTCAAGAGAGTGAAGCTCGTAGTCACGCTGAGCGGCAACGTGCAGGAGCATCCGAAGAGTGGTCATCTTCGGGGTGGGGGAGAAGGTCTGGAAGAAGTCTACTCCCTCTCGCTGACTGAAGCCTCGAGCAACGTAACGAGCCTTGAAGACAGGCGGAGAACCTGGCGGCCGCTTCACCCTGAAAATCCACATGCCACTGACGATGTTCGCCCCAGGAGGGGGAACCTCGTCGACGTAAGTGCCAGTGGACTTCCAGGATGCCATCTCTGCGTCCATGGCTGTCTGCCACTGAGAGGAGTACTCACCCGCGATCGCCTCAGCGTAAGAGCGCGGGGTCGGGATGTTTGGAGCATCCGGGTCTCCCTCAGGGGCAAGCAGCATGGCCGCAAGATGAGGTACAGCAGCAGCAAAGCACTCAAACTCCTCCTGCCTGTCCTCAAGGACGTCCGTGCCAAGAGCACACTCACCCCCGTCGGACGGAGGACAGACAGACTCAGACTCAGACTCAGCAACAAGACTCGCAGCGTAGTCTAGAAGACAGTGAGCAGCAAAGTCGACAAGCTCAGCGACTAAGGCAGACGCAGCAGTGGACTCAAAGGAAGGGTCAGTGACAACAGTGGCCAGGAGACGCGTGACAGTAGGGTGAGCAGCACGAGTGCGGTCAGACTCAGGCTCAGGAACGGTAGGCAGAAAAGACGCAGGAGGGGACGGCAGGGGAACACGCTGCAGAGGAGAGGAAGGACGACGGACGACAAGGGAAGGGCCGGGGGGAGCCGGCTGACGCTGACGAGGAACACGACGACTGGAACGACCAGAACGGACAGGTGAGACAGGACGCGACGCAGGCTCACGACACTCAGCAAGGCCCCCGGTCTGCTCTGTGTACGGAGAAGGAGCAGGCAGCGGTGAGCCAGGCTGTAACGGAAGACCAGTAGACGAGGGGAGACTGAGAACCTGGCGAAGTGCAGAGGCAGGCGGTGGCAGGGACGACGGAGACGGCGGAGCGAAGAACAGGCGCGGCTGTGCAGTGCCACCAGCACCAGCAGCCCCAGCATCCCCAGCAGCTCCAGTACCCTCAACAGCTCCAGCACCACCAGCAGCTCCAGTACCCTCAGCAGCTCCAGCACCTCCAGCAGCTCCAGTACCCTCAGCAGCTCCAGCACCTCCAGCAGCTCCAGTACCCTCAGCACCAGCTCCACCTGCTGCAGCACCCCCAGAACCGGCACCTCCAGCCCCAGGGTCTCCAGCCGCAGTGCCACCAGGAGCAGCACCCTCAGACGTAACACCGCCAGCCCCAGCAGCTCCAGTCCCCCCAGTACGAGCACCTCCGGGACCAACTACACCAGCACCTCCAGTAGGCAAAGGACCAGCACCACTCCCAGCGCCAGTGACCTCAGTAGAAGGACCCTCAGCAGGAGAGACCTGAGGTGTAGAAGCGCGACGCTGACGGCGACCGTACCAGTCGTGCAGCTGCTGGGAGGTGAGAGGCACACGCGGACGAAGACGGTTACTCCAAGGAGACCGCGGAACAGTAGTATCAGAACCCTCAGGCGACTCACCCCCAGACTCAGCACCCCCAGGCTCCGCACACGCAGGCTCAGCACCACCAGACGCAGCACCCCCAGAAGCAGCACCCCCAGGCTCAGGACCTCCAGGGTCCTCACACGCAGGCTCAGCACCCCCAGGCTCCGCACCCTCAGGCTCCTCACGCTCAGCGCCCCCAGACCCACGCTGCGCACCCCCAAGCTCCGCACCCCCAGGGACAGCACCACTCCCAGCAGGACCGGAGTCACCAGTGACCTCAGCAGGCGCAGGGACGGGAGGGTCTACCTGAGAAACACCTGAGGGAGCAGGACCTGGCGCGGGGAGGGGGTCTACCTGGGGAGGACCTGGGGCGAGAAAGAGCGGCGGGGGGGGGCGAGGGGCAGTGCGGTAGGGAAAGAGACGGTAGAAGGGAACTGACTTGTCAAAGGTGACGTCCTGAGACGGAAAGACACGGCGCGAGGCGGGGTCGTAAAACTGCCAGCCAGGCGCGTCAGGGACAAAGCCAAGGAAGACGCAAGGAATGGCGCGAAGGGAGAGCTTGTCCGCGGTGGTATCGCGGACAAAGGCACGAGCACCCCAGACCCGGAAACGCGACGCATCGCCAACCTTCCCCGTCCACAGCAGTGTGGGCGAGGTCTCTGGTAAGGAGACACGGGGCCAGAGGTTGAGCTGATGCGCGGCGTACCGGACCGCAAACGGCCACAGAAAATGGGGGGCAGCTGCATGGATCATGGAGGTACGAGCGACCTCCATGACTAAGCCAATGCGGCGCTCAGCAACCCCATTCTGCTGCGGAGAGGCCGGAAGCGTGAACGACTGGGTGATGCCGTGCTCCGCACAGTAGGCTGCCAAGAGGTCGGAGGAGAACTCACCACCTCTGTCAGAGTGCAGACGCAGGACAGGGAAGTCCGACTGGAACCGCTCGCGTAGCTGGAGACGAACAGCGCGGATCCAAGGGATCAAAACAGCAGGGACATCCGCCTTGCGCTGCAAGGGGAAGACCGTGGTGTAACGCGTGTAGTCGTCGACCACCAGCAGGAAGTACCGCTCGTGGCCCTGCCCCTGGACGCGGGCTGGGCCCCACACGTCCAGGTGGAGTGTCTGCAGTGGAGCCTCTGTGGGAGGAAACGAGGAGGAGTGAGGAGCGGCGCGCTGTCGCCCCTCGACGCAAGGAATGCAGGGCGGCGCAGGCGAGGGAGGGAGGGCAGGCAGAGACCTGGGAAGACCAGAGACCAGGAAGCGAGAGTGCATGCTACGAAGGCGAGGCAGGGAGGGGTGACCAAGGCGGTGGTGCCACAGGAGAGTGTCGTGCGACAGCCGGCGACACTCACACTGGGTAGCTACCTGAGCAGACGCGTGCCGCTGGGGAGACAAAGGGGTGGAGCGCGACGCAGTGGTGAGGGTGTACAGACTGGACCCTGGCGCACGGGTGAACGTGGCCAGGTGGCGGCCGGTCCGGGAACACGTGCAGATCGCCACACGCTGCCGGCCAGGGGTGAAGGTGTCAACCCCCGCATCCTGGAGGACAGCGTTGCTCACCAAGTTCGTAGAGAACGAGGGGAGGTGGAGACCAGACAACTCACCAGACGGGACCGCCGGACACGGAAGCACAGTGGAAGACCGTGCAAGCACTGGGCCCCCAGAGGGGTCAGCCAGTGAGACAGGTTCAGGTGCAGGGAGGGGAGTGACTGTGGTACTATCGCGGAAGAAACAGCGGGAAGCACCAGAGTCAAGTGTAAAGGTGTGCAAGGCCTGTGCAGGCGCAGTATCAGGGGGAGCAGACTCACAAGCACCTAGTGCTGCAGGGGCTATACCAGGGGCTATACCAGGATCCGGCGGCACACACAAGTAGCAGTCACCCTCAGCACTAACAGTCAATGCATACATGGCAGT